TTTTCCTTCTTCTTCTTCTTCTTCTTCTTCTTCTTCGGATCCTTGGCTCGATCTGCCAAGGTGGTGGGTGATCCCTGGAGATCTTGGATTTCCCAGGTCTACCCCCACCAAAATCTCGGATGGGTATGATAGCATTTGGCGGTGGTATGTCGACACAATTTTTTTTTATTTAGGTTCTTTCGGGTTACAGTCCGCTGGCTCCAGTAAGGCTAACCGTTTTTTAAGGATCCGAGTAGAGAATTCTCGATTCTGGGATGCCTGTTTGTAATATTGGGGTTTCTGAATTAAGAAAGAAAATAAACAGGAAAATAAATTATGATTGCCGTGTTTTTTTCCTTTCTTTTCTTCTTTTATTTTGTATTAGGTGCATTTTGCCTCCAATAGGGTAGATTCACGTGTAAAGGGAGAGAGGAAAAATCGATCGGGAACTGACGGCCGCTGTACCAGGACTGACTAGTTTTTGGGCACATATGGGTGCCCTGGTGTTTGGGCGCCGGGGTCCGTAATAGGTGCTCAATACGTGCTATAGGGTACAACCAGCGGTCATCCGGGAGGCTGGCACGAGTAGGCACAAATACGAATAGACCGACGGGAGTGCTCTCTGTTTTTTCGAGATGAGAGCTTGATTACGGCGCAGCGCTGCCGCTCATGGTAATCGACTTCTGCTGTTAGCGCGCTATGGCTCCGCGGACTGTGGATTCACCACGATATGCGATCAACTTGAGATGTCAGAATGACAGAGGGGGAGTGTGGGAGAGCGGTAGGTGGAAGATGAAATGGGAGAAGGGAAAGACTTGGCTGGTGATTGAAGCGCATCTCGAGCTATATAAACCCTCCTGAAGAGACCTGAACGCACAGGTCGAAACGCGTCGAGGGGATGCGAATTGTATTGTATGTGGTGTTTGATGAAAGGTTGTTTTCGAATGACTTTTTGTCCTCCATGAGAGCAGTGTTTTTTGTGTTGTTCGGTTTATTACCCTTGTATTCTGGGTAGACGTGACGATCAATGTGCACTGTGTCGCGGGAGTTGTCGCGTAGTTAATTGCTGCCTCACGGTAGCTAGCAACCGTGTTCTTATTGGTGGTGGTTTGATTGGATTGCGGAGAGGAGATAGGGCGGGATGGCAGTCAGGTCGCAGTTGCTGAAGATGAGAAAACTCACCTTTAGGCACCTGCGGGGGATTAGGAGGCTCCGGAGGGTTCTGAAACAACTTGTTGAGAGCATCATCTTGCGAATGTAAGTTCCTGATAGACATGGTGCGTGTACCAGAAGGAGTATCTCAGAGTACTTGGAGCGGAGTAAGCGACTCCTAGCAACCCTRWATAGGTTGATTCTAGCGCCCATCACTAGGTACGCAAAACGAGCGCCGAGATTGTATAAATTTAAGGTGGTCCCGGCGCTACGAAGAGTATACCGAGACTTCCATCGTGTGTGTTTGCTAGCGAGAGTAACGATTGTTATGTTGGGGCTCATACTGTAACTATGCAGTCGAATATGGGAGGGATGGCAGGACCGGGAGTACCCAACCAGGGGTTGGTCGGTCAGGGGATGGGAGGTCAGGCGATGCTTGGGCAGGGGATGATCCCTGCGGCGATGGGTGCTCCGAATAGTGCGCTGGCAGCACCATATGGCACAGTGACGTGCTATATATGTGGTAAGACCGGGCACTATTTACGGAACTGCTGGCAGGCGGCGAATCGGCAACGGTCGGAGGATGATCAAGAGATGAGAGAACTGTTGAAGAAGATAGCAAAGAGAGGGGAGGAAGAAGAGAAGAGAAGATTGAGAGAGGCAGAGGAAGCTAGGAGGAGGGAGGAGATAGAGAAGAGGGAGGGAGACAAGCTGCGTGAGGAAGAGGCAAGGGAGGCGAAGTTGGAAGTTACGATCGTCAGGATCCTGTCCCAAAGGAAGGAGCCACTGATGATCACGCCAGCGCCTCAGCAAGTCGAAGAATCTAAAAAGCAATCGCCATGTACCAAGGCTAGGATGCTTCGCGAAATAAGGAGCTATATCGCGGAATCAGATGAAGATAGTGAAGAGGTGAAGATAGAAGTGGAGAAGCTGGTCGAGGCCTTTGAGAATCGGAAGAAACAAAAGAAGAGCTCAGCCATCGTGCGAGAAGCTACCAACCGAATGGTCAGGAAGAGAGCTACGCCGAAGAAAGGAAAGGAGAAGGTGGTCAAGAGTGAGGAGGTGGCCGACGATTTCGCAACGCCGAAGAAGGCGTGCCCAACTGAATGTACTAGTGAGGGAGTTGTTGAGTTCACCCTCTCACAAACGAAAGTGTTGAGCGCATTAAAGGCGGGAGATATACGAAAGATCTGTGATCGGGAGGGTGTCCAATACATTGTGAAGGATCAAGCGATCGGCGAGATCGTGCGATGCGGGGTGCAACTCGCCTATGAAGGTTTTTTTTATGTGCGCAAGCAGCAGACCTCGACGGCAAAACAAGGCGGGGCCGTGCTCAACGACCCGTAATGAATAGACCGGAGGTATCGACCCGTGATGTTGTGGAGCAGGTTCGAAGGATCATTAGTAGACGAGGGTATAGAGAAGCAACGAATGCATACCCTTTGCTAATCAAGGAGGAAGAGAACGAAATTGCGCTGTTAGTACTACTGCTAGCTGTACGCAGGGTCATCCCTTGGATTAGGAAGCTGGTGAGAATCGTCGAACCCTCGAGGTTGGACGTGAATCAGCCGAGGCCCGAGGGTGTATGCCATTGTGAGTCCGTTCTGCAGAAGGTTGTATATTGGGTGCACTGTTAGGAGGGTGATCACGAGATGGGTGGAGTATATTACGTGCTCGAAATCGGATGGGAAAGGGAACACATCGAAGCTACATTCGTGGTTGAGGTTCTTCGGATGGAGAAAGTACGTCGTACTACCGTTGGTTTGTGGAGTACAAGATGGCCTGATCATTGAGCGGTCGTTGATTCAGCGTTTTTCTCCGAACCTGAACTCCATCGGGGGTAACCATGTACCTGTGAAGAAGCGGCGGCGAGGTAGGGGACGGGGGAGACTGGGTCCGGGGCAGGGTGGACTGGTCACGTTTGTATATGAGGGAAGGACGTACGGCTCCTTGGTGGGCCTTCTGAATGATGTGCCGCGAAACCAGGAGATCCGCCTGGTATCGAATGCAGGATGTGTCTGGGTAGGATCCTGGAAAGAGGTGAGGGAAAACTACGGATAGACGGACATCATTGTCCGGGGCGGTGGCTTCAAGATCTTCTGGCGCAACCGTGGCGGATCAGAGGGATGTACTCCCTCACCCATAAAAAACTGACAGCTCTTTATAGGACAACTGGTCTGTTTTCCAGGAGCACTACACGCAACTCGCTGAAAATCCGTATAGCACGCGTGGTTAAGGAAAAGTTCGGCGTAGACATTAGGAGGCGATTGTATGTGAAGATTCCTTTTTCTGCACAAGTGGATTTGGGATTGGTTCGTGATCTGGTGGTAAAGGTCATCACGGCGTCTGTGAAGGACATAGCCATCCGGAATCTCGTCATAGAGAAGCTTAGTATGGTGAAGACAAAGGGCAGGACTGTGGCGAGCCTCATCCATAACTATCGGAAGAAGATTGAGGCCAGGCATGACCAGTGTGCATGCTCGGGCTTGGTTGCTGAGCGTTATCAAGGGCACATTCGAGCTAGGATCGACACGTTCCAAGGGGTGCACCGGTTCGTTTGCAACGCGAGGAATGTGACGTGTGGCTGGTCGATGACCAGTGAACTGCTTGTTGAAGCCATCCATAGGGCCGTCCCGAAGATATGGAGAAGTAACATGGATTACTTGGCGTGCGATGAGGTAGGGAGATGCTTCAGTCGCCAGGTGACGGGTTGCATGGCACTGGCAGAGAAGCAGGTCGTATAGAGTGTGCGTCATTTGCGCTCCATGATCCTGGTTCCTTTAGATAGGAATCCTGGAGCAACCTTGGTGATCTGCCCGGTGCTCTACTTTCATGCATACCGAATGACGTTCCGCTGGAGCTCTGGTTTTTGGAGCAGAAGCTCGCGGAGGAGCAGGTACTGGCGTCTTCGAAGGTAGCATACAAGGAGTCCAGGTTGAGTGACGTTGCCACTTGGCGCACATGCGAGAAGCTTGGCAGGGCGTATGTAATGCCTAAAAACAAGGACTTCGGGCAGTGGCGACCGATCTCACCATCGTGGTCGGAGCCGTCGAGGACGGCAAGCGCGAGGATGGGGAGGGCGCTGCGGTACATGCTTTTGTGCCTACTTAGTATCAACCATTTTAGTCTGAGAACTACTGACGATCTCAGAAAGGCTATGGACAAAGGGGTTGCGGCATTGACTCGTGCTGGGGATACCGTCATGGGGAGGAACTTTGACATAAACGACATGTTTGCCAAGCTCCCCCATGACGAGATCACAACTTCTGTTATCTGGCTGATACAGATGCACAGACAGTGAGGACTGATGGGCGTAAAAATGAGTCAGAGGGGGAAGGCTTGTATGATGGCCAGATCAGTATTGAGGAAAGATGGTTATCTGTTTCTACCCTTTGAGAGGATCGTGTGTCTGTTGAGATTTGAGCTGGAACATACATTCACGATATGTGAAGGACAGGTGTATCAACAAGTGTTTGGCATTCCAATGGGGAAGCATTCATCACCTGCCCTGACGAACCTTCTATGTGCAAAGGCGGAATATGTCTTCCTGACTTCTTTGGGGAAGGATTGGCGACTTATTGTCGGCATTAGAATGATTGATGATGTGTCAATTATGATTGTTTTTCTGTCCGGCGCCAGGAAAGCTATATGAAGGCACTTGAGATAGCTGATCGCTTTACTGAGTGCTACCCTTCGTCCCTGAAATTAGTTAGGAAAGACGAATCTAGCAATTTCGGGGATTTTTGGGGGAGCAGGGTGATGTTGGAGCCGTGTCCCCCGAGGGTCCATATTCTTCCCAGAACGAAAAATCAGGTGAGACTGGTGCAAGGGCAAGATCTTCATTTTCACTCTATGCAGGATTTCACCTCATAAACAACCAAGAAGACGAAGCGGACGACTCTAACAGCCTCGATGATCAGGCTGTGGCGGACAACGACCAATGAACAAGCAGCGGGGGTATCGATCATTTGCCTCGTTAAAGAAGCGCGCCTCCGGGACTACCCCCCGGAGGTTTTTTTCGGATCCTTGGCTCGATTTGCCAAGGTGGTGGGTGGTCTCTTGAGATCTTGGATTTCCCAGGTCTACCCCCACCCAAATTTCGGATGGGTATGATAGCATTTGGTGGTGGTATGTCGACACAGGGTTTTTCTATTTGGGTTCTCTCGTGTTACAGTCCGCTGGCTCCAGTAAGGCTAACCATTTTTTAAGGATCCGAGCAGAGAATTCTCGATTCTGGGATGCCTGTTTGTAATATTGGGGTTTTTGAACTAAGAAAGAAAATAAACAGGAAAATAGATTAGGATTGCCGTGTTTTTTTCCTTTTGTTTCTTCTTTCATTTTGTATTAGGTGCATTTTGCCTCCAATAGGGTAGATTCACGTGTAAAGGGAGCGAGGAAAAATCGGTCGGGAACTGACGGCCACTGTACCAGGACTGACTGGTTTTTGCGCACATATGGGTGCCATGGTCTTTGGGCGCCGGGGTCGTAATAGGTGCGGAACTCAATACGTGCTACAGGGTACAACCAACGGTCACCCGGGAGGATGGCACCGACTAGGCACAAATACGAATAGACCGATGGGAGTGCTCTCTGTTTTTTCAGGATGAGAGCTTGATCACGGCGCAGCGCTGCCGCTCACAGTAATCGACTTCTGCTGTTAGCGCGCTATGGCTCCGCGGACTATGGATTCACCACGATATGCGATCAACTTGAGATGTCAGAATGACGGAGGGGGAGTGTGGGAGAGCAGTAGGTGGAAGATGAAATGGGAGAAGGGAAAGACTTGGCTGGTGATTGAAGCACATCTCGAGCTATATAAACCCTCCTCAAGAGACCTGAACGCATAGGTTGAAACGCGTCGAGGGGATGCGAATTGTATTGTATGTGGTGTTTAATGAAAGGTTGTTTTCGAATGGCTTTTTGTCCTTCATGAGAGCAGTGTTTTTTTTGCTATTCGGTTTATTACCCTTATAATTCTTTTGGTGCTCTTCCTCTTCTACTTCTTCCTTTTCCTTATCTTGACTCTCATCTAGACCTCGTTTTTGGGTGCCTAACCTTGCCTAACCCTCGTCTTCCGCCCTCAATCTCTCATCTTCCGTGTCTAAGTCTTCTTCCACGATTACCACCGGCGCGTCCTATTACACCTTCCCATTGACAACGGGCACGACTCGAGATTGGATCCCCTTCTTAATATTTTGTGCTTGAGGGACCGTTAGTTGTGTTCCTCTTCGGAGGACGGGCCTTTTCAAGACGGAACGCGTTCCCTCAGAGGCCGTCTGAAGGTGGGACGATGATGGTCTCCCCGCACGTAATGGTGACAGAGACGCTACCAAAGGAGCCATGCCCCTTCTCTCGTTGTGCCCACCAAGCAGAAACATATTCGGCACTCTTGGCCAAACCCTATCCATGCCGAGACCCAGTCTCATAACTTGGTCTCCAAATGCCTTTAAATTGTTTCTCGAGCTTAAAACTTCTCTTATATCTCTTCCCTTTTTGGTCCTGCCCTTACTAACTTCAAGCCTACTAAAAATCGTCCGGCGTGCAACCTCTTCTGACTCAAGCACCTCCCTTTCTTCTTTCGAGGTCAACCGGTAAGTACAAGGCATGGTCCGGTTCATGCTCCGAAATGGTTCTTTCCTTATTCCTCCTTCTATGTATGAATCGATAAGGTTCCCTTCGAAATCGAACACCTCGCCTCGGATGTTTATGTACACTATCTGATCCTCCTCATCTCTAGCGAGGGTCTGACAATACCGGACACCGTGTCCTCTTTGGGCACAATAGTTACAATTCCAATCCCTATTACAGTAACCGCGACCACCAGATGCTCCCCAACCACGCCCCCAGCCCCCTCCTTGTGGCCGGAATTGTCGAGGCTCGGTATCTTGAGATTGTCTCTGATGTTGATTGATAACATCACAATTATCATTCTCATGGTCACTCTTATTCTTGGATTGTTTTCCATTCGTACCTTGCCCTCCCCGTGTTTGATTCATGGCTTTCCGTTCGGCCTTCGTCGCTTTCCGAGGAGGTTCTTCTTCTTCTTCCTTTTCACTACCTTCCTCATCGGACTCTTTCTCTTTTTTTTTTCCTTTCCTCTTGTCGTTTTGTTGCCTTACCGTCAGTACCTTGCCACACAGTCCCTCCTTCCTCATTTCTTTCATCATCATCCTAACATCCATAATTGCCGCGAACATCTCCTTATCCTTATCACTACTTACTAACTCCTCCTGCATTTTCCTTTGCCTGCGCAGGAGATGATAGACCATCTGGTCGAAGTCACCAGCCTTAAGATTCTCCTTAATCTTATCCCAGTCGTACCTGGTAGTAAAACCCTTCATCAATTCTCTTTGCTCGACTTCGGTGAAGTTGATCAGAAAGATAATGCATTTCATCTTATCAGGAAGATCGGGAATCCTCTTAGCGACTTTCTCAAACCGCTTTAGGAACCCTTCGATCGTCCTAAGTTTCTCTCGACTCACTTTATGAAGGTCAGAGACGTCCAACAATTTGTCTCCTAGCTGATATTTTTCCAACATTCGCTCACGAAATGTTTTCCAGATTCGTGTCCTACATGCCATCTCACCGACTTCTTCCGCCAACATGCACAGTGTTTTACCACCTCGAACGTCTTTCATTCAGTCCATTGACGCACATGAGCATTCAACTCATATTTTTCTGGTCAGTCTGTGACATTCTCCCCATCGAACAGAGCAACCTTGATTTTCAGAAACTTCTCATGTGACGTGGCGGTTTGTTGGATAAGCCTCGCAAGTTCCTGAATGTCATTGCGCCTCTCGTCACCCAAACTATCGCTCTCAACGAGGTTGGGGTTCCCCATCCTTGAGCGAAGTATCAGAAGGAACAACGATCACAATCAGATACGTGAGTCAGGAAAGATTTTTAGCAAACCTATCTCATTACGAGGTTTCTCACTAATCAAAACAGCCCATCCACGTTGAGTCGTTATTATCTCGCAATCTCTCAGTCGTACTAAGGTCATTGCCATGATAATGCCACTTGTCCTTTCAAAAGGAAACCAAATGACAATCGAAACGCCTAGTTAAATAACAATACAAGGTAATTATTCAGGATTACCTTACCCGAGTGTCGTTCCACCAGGGACAACCGTAGATAGCCGTCATCCCCGGCAACGGCGCCACATGTCGGACGCAAGGGCCCCCCCTCGCATCGTAGCGCATAAAGGGGGATCTCCCAGCCGCATCACGCAAGAGTTTGATATCTTTTCTTTTTAGAGTCGGGACGCTTCCCCGAAATGGAGCCAGCCTGGTTGGAGGCGTGCGGGCTTGATCCCTGCATCCGGTATTCAGCAGCCTGCCACCCAAACCAACTAGGCTAGCCTTCACTTCTATGTGGGTAGGGGCACCACTTCTGTATGAGTGGTTGCGCCAGGCGCAACGCCAGCAACCCCGTGGCATCCCCCCCCCACCTTTTACACCAATCACACACCCTCCGAGCCTAGCAGCGTAGTGCGGTGGGTAGGTATGTCGTAGGCGCGGGGTCAGGGCTATAAAAGTTCAGATAGGGTGTGTTCTCACCGGTAGGTTTTCGTAGATACGTTTTCAACTCCAACCCTTAGTTTTCCTCGTCATTACACCGCCTCCGAACCATTGTCCGACGTGGTCGTTTTCAACTGCCGAGCTCTGAATCGTGTGGCCGATAGTTGTCGTGCATTGTCCTAGCAGTAGGAACGTCGGGGAATGATTGGTCCTGACGTGCCTATCCTCGCAGCTTCCTCTCATATTACCT